AGGCAAAACTTACATATTAAAAAAAACCACTTTTTTTTTTGAAGGATGGTCTGCTAGGTTTGGAGTTGAAAGGAGGAAAGTCTGACCTTGAGTTACCATTTCTAGTGCCGTGGTCCCAACTGTGCCTTCTAGAATGTATGTCCATGTATGCTATGGGATAGTTTCACTCCTACTAAAGATGAAGTGTGGTTTGTCTAAAAGGGGGAGGCAGTAGCTCAACTTCAGGCTTCCAAATAAGGAGACTCTTCATTATATTCATTTATACTGTGTAGCTACTGGCTGTAACAAGGTTACTATTTACCTTATACCTTTTAAATACAATGTATGTGTGCTTTGCCACTTTAGCAGCAGGAAGGAAGAGACTTGAACAAATGGAATGTAACAAAGAAAAACAAATCTTCTAAGGCTTTACTAACTTAAAAAGAATGACAGTAGATGGATTTCAACTAGAAATTTTTGTTTACTATGTAACGATGTGAGACCTAGGCCTTGTCTTCAAGAAGGTGCTAATTGGGCTGGGGAATGAAAGTGAGTCATGATCTGTCCAAGTATCCTCGAAATTGAAATCATGATTGGGGGCAGCTTTGCTGACACATTTTCCTATGAGCACGTTTGGATCAGTTATATTTATATATTTATCCACTCTGTTTAAGTGAAAAGTATTAACCTAAAACTTAGGAGTTCTTTTTTCCTTTCTTTTCTTTCTTTCTTTTCTTACTTTCTTTTTTCTTTCTCTCTTTCTTTTCTTTTTCTTTCTTTCTTTCTCTTTTTCTTTCCTTCCTTTTTCATCTCTTTTTCCTTTCTTTCTGTCTTTCCTATCTTTGTAAAGTTTACTTTTGTGAAGAAATGAGGTTTTCATCAGAATGGAACAAACTTGGCCTGCATCTGGGAGGAGAAGCAACAATTTTTGGGTTCTTTGACAGTCAGAGACAGGCAGCTGAGACCGGGCTGGGAAGACCGCTGGGAGAGACAGGCAGCTGCTAGCTCCGGCTTCCTCTTCCTATTTCCAAGAATTCTTGAGTTTCTTTACATAGCTCTTGGTTTTCCTTCCAGTCCCATTAAAAAAAAAATCCTTGTAGAATAGGGGTAGAGAAGAAAAATTATATGTGACATCTTCATCTGTCTTTTTCTGACTTTGAAGTGAGCAAATGAGAGGAGCTGGTGGGCTCATGGGCTCGGCGAGTATCCGCCGAGTATACCTGTACCTTTGGGGACTGTTGGATATGTTTATGCGTACTGAGGTTGACTTTCTTTTATCCCCCCCCCCCCCCCCCCACACACACACCAAGCCAAGTTTGGTGAAGTGGTGAAGTTTGCGTAGAAGTGAAAGTTAGAGTTGGGAGAGTTGGTGACAACTTTGCAGCTCTGAGCATCGGGCCCGTAGGCTCGTGTTCCCCTTCAAGGCAGGTGCCATGCCGTGGCTTGGACCCTGCAGTACCTTGCTCGCCTGGGCACAGGGTGTTGCAGGCCCAGTTAGCGAATGAATGAATGAATGAATGACTTCTACCTAGCAAGTGACCCCGGGGAAAGTGGCTGAGAACTTTGTGTCCCCGTCCGGATCCCAGTGCTCTCTGCCATCTCCTAGTGTGGGGGTTTCATTGTCTGGGTTGTTTTTTTGGGGGGGGGAGGGGGAGTCGCATTTGAGTTTTGAAACAATCCTCAAACAAGTTCATGTTCAATAAACTAGTTTTACTTTTGTTCTAGAAGCGCCTGACTCGCCCCATGGCGCCCAGCTCGGGCCCCACGCCTCGTCCCACCTCGGGAGAACTCCGCAGGCACGCACCCACCGGCCACCCTGGCCAAGGCTCCGGGCATCGCGTGCCACCGCCTCGTCTGGAGACACAAGTTGTGCGCGCCCGAAGATCTGACCGGCTTGCGGCCGCCAACACCCGCGCGGCAGGCGGGCGCGCGCCGCGGGCAGGGGGGGTGGGCGCGGGGCCGCGTGTGCGTGCGCTCTCGGGGAGGCTGGAGGTGAGGAGGCGCACAGCACGGGGTAAGCGCCGCCGCCGTCGCACACTTTGCACGCCGCCCAGGGCTACACCAACTCGCAGAAAATTGGGAGGCAGGTCTGGGGGGCGGGGTCGGGCGCCCACCGTCTTGGGCGCGCCCGCGCCCCCCGCCACGCGGCCGCCTGCGCCCCCTGCCCACACCTGCACAGTCCCCGCCCCGGCCCGCACCCCCCGGCCGCGCGGCGGCCCCCTCGGGTGCGTCCTCGGCGGGCCGATTTTTCGCGCTTCCCCTTCGCTTTATAGGGGCCACTCGCTTTGGGTCGGTCCTCTGAAGAGGCTGGGGCGTCATCAGGCCGGGTAGAAAGCGCCGTTCCCCGGCGGGGACGCTCAGTCGCGTTGGCACCGCGGAGCGGGCTGCGTCCGGTGGCTGGCCCGGCGCGGCGCTCGCTGGCTCGCTCGCTCCTCGCGCTCGGGGCTCGGGGCTGCGGCACCGGCTGGAGCGAACCCCGGGTCCCGCTCGCTCGCGGGGCGCGGGGCAGCGGCGGGCGGCCGGTGGGCAGGCAGGCGGGCAGTGCCTTGCGTGTGAGTGGACCCCACTCACATGTAAGTCGGGGAGCGCAGGAGGCGCCGGGCGCCCCGGCGGGCGGGCAGGAGCCGGGCCGGGCCGGGCTGGGCAGGGGCGCCCCGGCGCCGCTGCCCTGTCCCGGCCGCTCCAGGCGAGCCCCCCAACTCTCTTCTCTTTTTCTCTTTTTTCTCCCCTCCGTCGGCGTGCCCCAGAACTAAAGCCAGGAGCGCCGAGGGTAACCGCACACTCGCGCCATCGCGCCTTTGCCTTTTCTCTTTTGAGTTGGTTGACATTTCTCGGTGCTTTTTGGTGTCTTGTGGCCGTCGGTGCTTTTTGGTTCCTCCTCGCCCCCTTTTCCTTTGCTCACCCCTGTTGGACGCTAACTCTTAGGCAGCCAGCCCGGCGACCCACCCCGAGCCCCGGGCGCCCGCGCTCGGGACACCGTCTCTCCGCGACCACCCCCGGACCGGCGGCGGCAGCGGCGGCGGGTGCAGCAGCGGGGACCGCAGCCAGAGCTTCCCGCCCGACACGGGGCGCACCGGGGCCGGACAGCCCGAGGCCGGGGGCAAGCCGAGCTCCCGGGCCAGGCGCGAGCCGAGCTCCTCCAGGTGGCCGGGTCACCATGCTGAAGATGGCCATGAAGATCAAAGCCAGGGTGGTGGACAGCGAGAAGAAGACGGCCGCGGCGGCTGCGGAGGTGGCTGCCGAAGCTGCCGCGGCGGCTGCGGCGCTGGCCGGCCAGCACGAGCCGCCCGCCCCACGGAAGAGCGGGGCCGCCGCCAAGCCCGCCAAGCCCGCCAAGCCCGCCGCCAAGCCCGCGAAGACCGCGCGGGACGCTCCCGCCGAGAAGGTGCTGAGCGACAAGGAGCGCCGCAAGATGGAGAAGAAGCGCCTGGAGCAGCAGAGGAAGGAAGAGAAGAAGAGGGAGAAGGAGATGAAGAAGTTGGAGAAGATGCTGAAGAAGAGGACCAAGATGCCCCAAGTCCAGGCGGAGGCCCGAGGCCCCGGGGCAGACGAGGAAGAGGAAGAGGAGGACGCCGTCGACGGGGAAGGCGCCACCGCCGCGGGCGCCGCGGAGGGCGCCGCCGGGGTCGGCGGGGGCGCCGCCGGCGGGGGCGCGAGTAGGGCCTGGGCCGCGTGGGACACGGACTCGGAGGACGAGGACGACGCCTACTACGCCGCCCCGCGCATCGGGGGCATCGTGTGGCGCCCCGGGCCGCTCAAGGCCGGCGCGCTGAGCGCCCACCTGCCCCTCGTGGTGTTCCTGGTGTTCTCCGTGCGCAGCCCCTCGTGGGTGCTCAACTTCCTGCTGCAGAAGCGCACGGAGCAGGGCCGCGGCTGCGGCTTCGTGTTCGGGGCGACCTGCTGCTTCCGCGTGTTCCTGGGCTGCGCCTTCTTCTCCTTCCTGAGTGGCCGCTCCAGGCGCCGGGGCCGGGGGCGCGGGCGCACCGGGGCGCAGGGCGCCCGGCGCCGGGGGCGCGACGAGAGGCTCATCTAGGCCAGCCCCCCCTACCCCTACCCCTCCACCATCGCCATCGCCACCACCACCACCACCACCACCACCACCAGACACCAGACACCACCATCGCTGTGTAGTGTGGCGTGTTGTGCGTACTCGTGTGTGTGTGCGGACACGTTTTCCTTTTCGGTTGCTCTGTGCTGTGGCTCGTGCCGGCCTGGCTTTCTCTCCCCGCTCCCCGCTCTCTGGCTCTCTCTGGCTCGCCCTCTCTCTCCTTTTCGAAATTTTCCGAAGTCCGGGCTCAGGCTCGCGCTCCCTCCCCTTCCGCCCACCCCGGCCCCTTGGCGGCGCCCGCGGGAGGAGGGGGAGCGCCGGCCCCGGGGGCCGCGGGGTGACACCCGGCCCGGGGGTGGAGCATTGGCGTCGTGCGAGGGGTCGTGGCTGGCGGGGAGCCGCCCCCTCTCCCCCCGCTGCCGGGCCCCGCGCCCAACTTAGGGGGGTGGGGGGGCGGCTCCCCGGCCCGGCCCGGCCCGGGCGCGGGGACCCCCCTTCCCCGGGCACCCGGGGGGGCCGTCTCCCGCCGCCGGCGCCCGCCCTCCTCCCCGCCGCCGCCGCCGCCGCGGCCGCTCCTCAGCCTCCACCTCCTCCTCCTCCTCCTCCTTCTTCCTCCCCCCTCGCCGCCGTCGCCTCCGCCTCCCCCCGCCTCCCCCCGCCCGCCGCGGCGCTTTTGGTTCGGGGCGGCGGCGGGCCCCGGGCCGAGGCAATAAGAGCGGCAGCGGCGGCCGCGGCGGCAGCAGCTCCCGCAGCTCCTGCTCTGGTCTGCCTCGGCCCGGCGGCGGCCATCAGTCCCCTCGGCTCCGGCTCGAGGGGCGGGGAGCTGTCCGACCGACGCCACCCTCCCCTTCGCGCCGGCCCGCGCGCTCCGCGGCCCGCGCCCCGTAGTCCGCCCCGCGCGCTCCTCTCCGAGGAGCCGAGCCCGCGCCCGGCCCGCCCGCCCGGCGCTGCCCCGGCCCGCCCGGCCCTCGTCAGGCCGCCCGCGCCCGGCCCCGCCGCCGCCGCCGCAGCCCGGCCGCGCCCCGCCGCCGCCGCCGCCGCCGCCGCCGCCGCCATGGGCTGCCTCGGAAACAGCAAGACCGAGGACCAGCGCAACGAGGAGAAGGCGCAGCGCGAGGCCAACAAGAAGATCGAGAAGCAGCTGCAGAAGGACAAGCAGGTCTACCGGGCCACGCACCGCCTGCTGCTGCTGGGTAAGGGCAGGGCGGGGGGCGCCGGCCCCGGCCCGGCCCGGGGGCCCCGCGGGGCCCCCCGCGGGCCGCGCGCGCCGAGCCCGCCCCCCGCCCCGGGCGCGCGCTCCCGGCCCGCCGCCCGTTCGCGCGGGGCTCCGTCCGCGGGGGGCGAGGCCGGAAGGGGGACCCCAGGGCGCAGATTCGGCCGGGCGGGGGGTGGGGGGCGCTCAAAATGGGGCTGGGGGGGCCCGGCGGCGCGGACGCGGCTCCCGGCCCGGCCCGCCCGCCTCCCGCCGTCTCCGGCCCCCTCTCGCCCTCCCCCCCCCGTCTCTCTCTCGTCTCGCTCTCGGTCTTTTCGCGAGGCCTACACGACGCCAGGGCTTTGGGGTGCGTGTGGGGGAGGGGGACGGGGACGAAAAGGCCCGCGGGGACCCTGAGACCGCGACTTAGCTCGGGTTTGGGGGGACAGGAAGTGGGGCGGCGGGCCGAGGGAGGGGGACCCGCCTCCGTAGGGTGTGTGACTGGGGCCGAGGGACGGGGGCAGAGGGCGGGCGGCGCACGGTCCGTTGGGGGGCCTCGCCCGGGGGCGGCTGCGGCGGGGGAAGTGGCCGCGCGGGTGACATCAGCCCCCCGAGAGAGGACGGCGCGGTAAAGGTGGTGCAGTGGGGGAGGGGCGGGCCGTCGTGGCGCCGGGGGGGGGGGGGGCGGGGGGCGGCGGCCGCCGCTCGGTGCGTCTCGGGCAGGACCCGGCTGTGTGCGGAGCAGACGTGTCCTGGGCCAGGCCTGGCCGTGGAAGGAAGAGAAGGAGAATCAAATAAAATCAGTCCAACAAAACGAAAAGGAAAGCCCGCACGCAGAGGGCCGGGGGGGCAGTGACACGTCATTTCACCGTGTGACCTTTTTTCCCCTTCTAGACCTGCAGGCTTTTTGAAAAGCAGAGGAGAGCATTAATTGTAGCCGCTGACCCCCGCCCGCGCGGGAGCGCGCGCGCGCACCCGTGCCACACACCATTCACACACACACATCTTCCTGTTAGTGTGCCACACGGAGAGTGCCTGGCGAAAAAAGAAAAAAAAAAAAAAGACGTTCACAAATCAGATCTGGAAAATGACATTTGTCTGTAAATGGCTTCTGGGTCTGGAAATGGCGTTTTAGAAATCTTGTCCTTTCCAAGGTGGGAGGGCGGCCAGAGCCCTAAGGAAGACTTCCCAGGTGGGGGGGCCAGGAAAAGACATTAATTAGTTGTTGGTCAAGTGACACTTGGTTGTTTGGTTTTTCTTCTCTTTTTTTCCACTGCTGTTTCTCCTCTTTGGCCAAAAAAAAAGGGGGGGGGAGGGGGCCCTTAACTGTGAGGAGATGGCCTTTACCCCTTTTTTCTTTAGGTGCTGCTTTGGGAAAAAACAAAAGCATAAAGACTTGTCAAAATTGCCAAAAGAATGACACAAACACTAATTAGAATGGAAGTTTTCCACTTCCTTGGTAATTGGCTATCTGAATAAATTTGTGAATTTGCTAGGCTAAGTCCTAGTTCGTGGTCACATTTCAACCAAATAGCTTAATTATCAAGAAAAAACTGTGAAAGGCTTGTTTTTTCCTTCTGGTGGTGCTTGGCTTGGTGTTTGTGGATGGGTCAAGTCTTTGTTCTCCTGGGTCCAGATTTATGAATGCAGGAAATTAATAATTAAGTGAAAATAAGTCTCTTTGGTGTTTATGCATTTGCAATCCCACTAATTAAATGGTATATATATGGAGATCCTTGTCTAAAAAAGTAGAATTATGCTATGTGAGTATCAATGTGCATATGATTTGATTTCAAAGTGCAACCTGGAGAAGTCTAGAACCTTCCCTGGGAATGTTAACTTGCTTTATGAATTCTAATTTAAGTCAGGTGTGATGCTAATGACACCTTTAAGTTACCAACACCTTTTGTGTCTCCACTTAATTTGAGACCTCCTAGCTGGGGGTCTCATCATTCTAAGGTACCCTAGCCTCTATGGCTGCATTTTGTCACAATTTATTAATAGCCTCTGGCACAAGAATCGGCAGCCCAAGCCAGTGGCAACATTTTATATTCCTAATGGTTGATCTCACCGAATAATAATCCCCCCTCCCCAATGGAAACATCTTTATGCCCCAAGTCCTCCTCCCCCATCTTAATTTAATGACAGGAAAATTAACTGAATTACCAAACTACCAAAAAAAAATTTTTTTTAATCTTAGTTTTCAGCCTAGTTGTCTAATTTCATAAATGTGGAAACTGAGGCACAGATCTATTTGTGTCTGTAAAACACAGGTGTGGCACATTTTAATACTTCTGCATGCAGAATATTAAAGATCCTGATCAATATTCCACATTCTTTTTGTGGAATTTCCAAATGTGCCTTCTGTATTTTAATTTGCAAGAGTTACACTCATTAAGATAGAATGTTTGCTTTGAAATCAATGTTTCTATGCAAACTAACTTTAACTTTCACAGATATTGATTACAGGCTTGTGAAAAGGCAGGAAGAGGAGGAATGCTTTGCTATTTGGGCATTAAAACAACAATTAATACAATTCCAAGTTTAGGGGAAAAGAGGGAGTAAATCCATACTGCTTGTGTGTGGGAGGAGGGCAAGAAAAAACTATTCACATAGGGAATATTTGTGGTACAGTACATTTACCCCCCCCCCAAAAAAATGCAAAATAGTAGCAATCCTCCCTCTAGCTTGCTGGAAATGTTTTTTTCCCCATAAAATGTTATTATTATTTATTAATAATCAAATGAAAGGTGAATTAAAATGGAGGCTTATGTTTCTTCCCACTCTTTTAGTTTGGAGGGGCTTAAATCTTTTAAATTCAATGGTTTCCAGGAATATTTATCTTAATTATAAAGTCTTTTCTTCTGCCTTACTGTTGTTACAGTTTTTATCTAATGCTAATCTGGTCTCAAGTGCTCTATTGATATTAAATTGTGTTGTTTTTTTGAGGTGACAGATAATTGATGGTCTTCCATTTTCCTCTGCCACATGGTTGTTGTATCCTGAGACAGTTTATCTTTAGAAATGTACAGTTTGCTGGGGCAGGAGGGTGAATAAGTAGCTAGAATGTAATATTGAGCACATAGGGGTGGATTTTAAGTAGCCCAGGGTGGGGGGACCCGCGGGGCGGCTGCTGCATTGTGCGAATGTTTGGGGAGCAGGCCTGCATGGCTACGCGCTGGGGGGGAAACTGCAGTGTCTGGGCATTGTTTGCGAATCCTGGGTATTTTAACCACAGAACATCTGACAAACAGTGAATTATATGTGGCTCTGTACGTTGGTGTGTAGGTTTTACGAGTGAATGCTCACATTTCAAGGCTCCACTTCTCAGTTTTAATCAGTTCTCCCCCTCAAATGACAAAATTGCGTCATATCTTCTCCTTACCCCTATCTCCAACACCCCACAAAATTGAACATGGCATCCAAAAGAGGAAAACAAATACCTTTAAAACAAAAAAACGCAGAACCTCCTTAATTCTTGTTTGTTATTCTGATGGTGAAATACTACAGGTAGACACTGAGTTGGAAATGTTTCATTTGTTTTCTCTGCGTCGAAATTGCAAGTCTGTCTTGTGTTTGTTGTATGTTGCTTCTATGGAAGAAAAAAAAAAAGAAGCCACGGACAGCAGCTCTCTCCCTGCCAAAGCCTGGGAGGCGCCTCTTTCTTAACCTGAGCCTTACTCTCGTCCTCTAGGTGCTGGAGAGTCTGGGAAAAGCACCATCGTGAAGCAGATGAGGATTCTGCATGTTAATGGGTTTAATGGAGAGTAAGTGTCCAGTCTGTGTCAGGGTGCTCACGAAGAAGGAGTGACAAACTTGATACTAACCTTTAGGGAGGATAGCTAGGTACGGGGGGAGTTGGGCTGCTAATTTTCACTATTTTCCCCCCTAATTTACACATTAGAAAACCGTGGAGCAAGCTCTTGGGAGCACCCCACCCCCCATTTTAAGCTTGGGCAGTACTAACAGTCTCCTATCCCCAGGAAACAGTGCCTGGTCGCAGAGGACACTTCACCAGCTCTTGGCCAGGTGACAGCGTCTGGAGGCCAGGTCCTCTGCGGCAGACTCGAGCTTTCTGCTGCAGTGAGATTCCAACATGGCTGACTCGGCCTTGGCCACCCCTGGTGGGGCCGGGGCTGACCGTGGCCACGCGGGCGGGCGGGCCGGCCGGCCGGCCAGCGGGAAGCGCAGGGGAAGGGTACAGGCCAGCCCTCGCCTACTGATGGCAGGCCTCGTGCACAGTTTTTCTTTGATTTTGGAGAGCCCCCTTTTGAATTAACATTATGCATAATTGTTTCCCTTATTTAAAAACTAATGCTGCTGCCTAAAGAAGTGAAAGGGAAGAGCTGAAATAAGGAAAAGACTGGGTTAAGAGGCTCCTGGCTAGTTCAAGGGGCTTTTTTGCCTTTGAAATGTCCTTCTACGCCTCGTGGCACCGGACAGTGTGGCAGCACCGCAGACACAGCGAGAGAGCACGAGTGTGCCTTACAGATGTAAGAGGAGTAGGGGTCCCGCTTTCCGTGAAGAATGCAAAGGGAATGTCGTTAGTAAATTGGGGGATTTGCCTCCCCCCGTTCCCCATCCGTCATTCTCCAAAGCTAATTTCCCCAGTGGCTAACCTTAGAGGGCAGCCCCCCCCCCCACACCCAGTCGGCAGCGACAAGCCCATTCAGAAGGAAGGTTGCCCCTCGGCCCATTCCTTTCAGTGCAGAAAGGGTAAATGGAGTCATGGCAGCAGTTCATGGAAAATTCTAGAATTTGTTAGATCCAAGAATTGGGGGGGGGGGGGTTGAAAAAGATTACATCATCCACACAAATGATCAGTTTAGTTTAAAATATTTTTATCTCTAATTCACAAATATTAATTAGTATGCAGGAGGCCAGGGCTAGTTAGCTTATCCATTTTGTGAATGACTTATAAGTTATCACCAGGCGCCATGTTCAACTAAGGAAGTCACCGTCACCTGTTCCTGATATCCCCTTGCCAGCGGTCATGGTCATCCTCTCATTAAGCAAAAAGAACCAGAAAATGTAGCATAAATTTTCTCCCCAACATTGTGGGGGTGCTTCTTCATGAGGCTAGTCAAGCAAAAATAATTTGACCATGCACCCTCTAGATAAATATTTTGGTTAAATTGGACATGGCTAGCACTTTTAAAAGATGCAGCAGCCAGTGTTTCCCATAGCTGGAGTTAGCGAGAGGCAAAGCCATCCTTGAAAGTAATGCACCTTTAAGCTTTGACCTCCAGCTTACCCTCAGATCTTAAAGAAAGGGTTCTCCTAAACGAGCCTCTGAGGGTTCTAAACCAGAACTTCTCTTTTCTCATTTTCCCTTTGAAAAGAGTAAGGTCCATTTCCAGTTTGCCTCCTCGCACCTCTAAGGATATTACATTTAGCCTGCAAAAATGACATACGGAGGAAGGGAGGGGTCTAGGTACCTTATTTTTACCTAGCATAGCTCAGCTGCCTCCCTCTCACTGTAGTATTTATTACAGCAAATGCTGTTCCCTCCCGAGAGGAATTCCTGTGGAATAGTGAGTCTCTAAAAGATGGCTGCCCCAGCTCTGGGTCCCCCCCCCCACCATCTTTCCCGCCAGCAATGCGTTTTCTTAATTTTTAATTGAGCTAATTTGCCTTAACTGTCCATAGGCTGCCACCACTGTTACTTGTTTTAAGAGTACCATCCTATTCATTTGACCTTCAGAAACAACAGAGGTCGAATATGAGATTTTTTTTTCTTAACTCAGATCTCACTCTTCCTCCCAATTTAATTCGAGGGGCAGGGAGAGACAGCCTCAGCCTTGGTTGATCTAATCAACTAAACTACCCTGCCCTTCCACCTTCCAAAGGAGGAGCAGGTAACTGCTGACTCGGAAGATCAGATTTGGGTGTTTGGATTTTTTTTTTCCTCCCAGACATTGTTCTAAGTGACATTTTTATAGGACAAGCTATTAGTAAAAACAATGTATAGGTAGGTTTCCCCCAAAGAAAGAAGGGACGCCATTAACTTTACACCAGGAAGTTGGGACAAAAAGGCTCCCATCTAGGCCTTTGCTTGGTACAGCATTGTGAAGATTCTGACCTGGGAGAATTTGGAGCCTCTTGCGCAGCCATATTCTCCAAAGAATTGTGAGATAAATCACTGCTTTACCTCCCTAATGCATGTACATTTAGTGAAAGCACAAGAAAATAATTATCCGTCCCTCCCGTATCCGACCAGAGTCTCCAGAGGGCTCCGTTAATACAGCAGCAGAGGTGTGGAATTCTTCCCCTACGGCCCGCAGTCTCTGTAGACATTCTGACTTAGCCAGAGAGGCTACCTAAGCATTAACGGGAGGATGGCGCGCGAAGTGTTGCATTTGCTCTTGGCTGGTTGCTTCTCGAGTGTGGAGAGGCTGTGTGGGGTTTGTGTGAATTGCGGTGCCTTGCAGATTAGGTGAGCTTTCAATCTCTCTTTAAAAGGGGCGGCGAAGAGGACCCGCAGGCTGCAAGGAGCAACAGCGATGGGTAGGCACATCCAAAAACAGAAAAGTTTCTTCACAAACAAGACACACACGAGGCTCACACGGGGAACTTGACGACACAGACCCAGGGGGGGAAGAATCATTTACGGGCCATCAGCCATCTTGCTATATGCATTTGTAAACAGCACATCAACCATTTCTTAGCAAGTAAAGTGCAAAACATGATTTCTTTTTTCTTGGCCGGGCCTAAAATGTAACTCGATCCAGCTGGGGGAAAAGTTACAGCTTTCAGTTCTAGACGATCATTTAAAACAATTTTGAGAACTGATATTTCCCTACATAGCTCGCCCACCCCCCAGTTCTCTGATTGAATCAACTACTTGGTTTTTAAAACTACTAAACTTTGTCCTCCCAGTGGTTGGTCCTGTTTTGAAATTCAGACCTCTTTCAGAATATCCCCCCCTCATTAAAATATGCAGTGCCTCGTGGTTCTTGTAAGCCATGGCACCTGGGGGCAGGTCATTGCTAAGAATCATCTGGAAGCCCTGGGCCTTTGATTGCTAGCACTTTACATCAGCTGATACATGCCATTGCTGTCCATCTCAAGCTGCCATTGCTTCCTCATCGCGCCCGTGTACACGCACATGTCCACACGCACACGCATGCCAGGGAACCCATTCCAGCTCTGCTTGTGCACTCTGCATGCAGGGACGGAGCAGCTGTTTCTCATGAGAACACACAGCCTTTGACCTAGCCTAGGGCATCTCCAAGAAATAGCTTCTGTAGCCAGAGAGGGGAGGGGCAAAGGCTATGGGACGGGGACAAAGTTACTGACACGTGTTTGTTCATCTGTTTCTTTTAGAATGTATCACCCCTAGATGATGGCTACAGTTTCTCAACTTCCCAACCATGTCATATCACACTTTGCATGCTGGAATTGTTCGGTCTTTAGCAACTCCTAATAAGAATACTATTCTGTTCCCTGAGGGAGGGGGGGGGGAGGGGGGGGAGGGGGGAGGAGGGATGGGCCCCTACCCTATTTACCTATGACCTAACCTTTAAGGATAAGTGAAAAAGCAAAAAGCAAAAAAAAAAAAAAAAAAAAATCAGAAAAAGCAAAAATCCAAAAAAAAAAAAAAACCCCAAATCATACACACATGCCATAAAACCCTACCCCAAACCCAAAAACCCACCCACAAAAACTAGAAAGAGATCCTTGATTGGCAAATCTAGTAGAACAGAAATCTAAAAGGCATCTATACAAAAGATGAGTGATTGACAAAGTACTGTACCAAAAGCTGGCATCCGAAACAATGGCAAGCCCTTACTGATGAGCGACCCTACAGTGTACTAGATGTTGTGCTAAAACCTCGGACCCCACTAACACCTTTTCTGCACGTCTTTCTGTGACTGTTCTACAAGTAAAAACTAAGGATTAACAATCGTGATAAATAAAAATTCTCTGCATGTTTCAGCAATTCCTGTATCCTGCGTCTGTCTTCTGTCTTCTCTTCTTTTGTCTGTCCCCACAAGCACAAAGACCAAGTGTAGAGCAGAAACTATAATGACCACAGCCTTCCCCTGCCACTAACTGAGAGGGGGAGGGGGAGACATGGCATGTCAATATATTAATCCCACTAATACCCTTTATATATTCTGGAGGAGGGAGGGAGGGAGGAAGGGCAGCAGTACCCCCAAACTACTTCCAGCTCCAGTCCCAGCCCTAGTCAATTAGAATTCTGGCAAATGGCATATATTTTGCCTTTGTTGCATAGTTCAGAGACATCTACAGAGTTTTCCCTGGATTTCACAATCATTGTTAAATTAATTAAGCTGTAGTTCCAATTGAGGTGAACCTGCCAGCCCCCAGTACGACATCTCCATCTACATAGTAATTGCTTCAATGGAAGAGTTTTATGTTTTAGTATGACACACCCGAATTAGACTTTAGATTTCTATTTTAGCTGTTTTATACTTGATATACTCCCACACCTATCCGCATGCGTAGATGAATACTGAACACGTTCTCAAAATATCCGTATTTTAAGACTGGAAGTTTTCCAATTATCATACTACTACTTAGACCAAAATATCAAGCTGAATGAAAGAATCTCACTTCTGGAAATACTTTTCTCTCAAATGTGGAGCTGGGTATTGAGTTCCCAGTCATACCTCAGTTTTCTACGAAACCTTAAAAACAGACTTGGGGGCTCCCTGTGCCAAAGACATGGGCCCCCTTTTAGTGGCAGGGGTGGGTTTGTCACAGGAGGTTCTGGGGAAATTCAGAAATCGAGGCTGAACACTGGGGCCATAAGATAGGAGTCCTTTTCATTGTAACTCCCAAATGACCGCGTTCAGTCTACCATCTGGAGATGACATAATGTCAGAGATGAGTGTCCTCCTCATGCCCCAAGTGGAACAGTTCCACCAGGCCAGGGCTCTGCGTCATGAGCCCTTTCCACAACAGGTTTATAGGCCTGGGTGGCCCGAAACTCCTTTCAGATGGGTACCCCTTCCCAGGCTTACCTCCACTCCTGGGACTCCCCAAATGTCCTTAGTTGAGAGTGCTTTAAACAGTCCTGAGTTTGGTACATCTGTCCCCCTCCCCAGGACGAGGTGCCCCTGAACTTTGCACTCCTTATCTGATGGGAAAGATGGTGTCCAAGGAGTCAGTCCATGAGTTCAGGCGCTCAGCCCTTTTAAAAAACAAGGGCCTGCTAAAATCCGGGCAGAGGGAGGACCTGTGGGCAGGTGCGCACACCCTTCCCCCCCTCCAGCCTCCCCACAGCAGTAGCTGCCCTGCCTGGCTGCGGTTGCTGTCCATCCTCCTTTGCATCTCCTTGGCCTTAGTTTTCTGTCCTCTACCCTGCAGGGCTCATTTACTTTATTATTGCCCTACTGTGACCAGCGGGGCTGGGAGAATACTAAGAAAACAATCCCCAGAGGCGTGCCCCATTATTAGCAAGCATCATTGTTAGGTCTGTCTCTGTAACTAACTCAGCCTCAGTTTCCCCTTCTGGGGCGGGGCTAGAATGCCTTCCTAACCCTTCACATGTGATGTGTCCTGTCATGGGGTCCAGCTGTGCTGTGTGTGCTGGCTCCTTCACCCCACTAAAAACAGACGTCATGCGGCGTGCAAACACACACCTTGGGCTAGACAAGACACAGAGTCTGTAACCCCATATAAGGAGGGGGCTCTGTCCCCTCCCCCCCACACACCTGTGCCTGTCATGAAGGCAGATTCAGAAAGTCCTGCAGTATCTGGGTCCCTATGATGTGGTGTAAGAACATTCTCTCCAGGGACCCTAGCAACCAAAGGTCATGGCCTTTACCTGTGGGACCAGTGATGGTATCTGCATACAGGTGGTTCCAGAGTGACATCATGAGCCCTGCTGTATGCTGTACTACACGGAAAGCCAGGGAAAAGCAACAAAACCTCTAGCCTGCCACGGGGACCTGACCCCACCTTCATCAATAGTGGGAAGGCAGGGTCTTAATTTTATTCCTGTTCCCATTGGTGTGCATTAACACGGCAAACTAGAAATACTGCCAGCCGCAGCACCCAGAACATCATCTCCCTGTGACAGACATAGGTTCTTAAATAAATAATAAATATATAAGTGGGCCACAAATAAATACATGAAGGTGCAGTGCTCTGGAGGCTGCAGTTAACACCATCACTGCCACTGGCTGGCTCTCGGTATGCAAATTAGCAACCCAGAGAGTCTCAAACCTCATCTACCTTGTTATGACCCCTTACCCCACCCCTACTCCACCCCCCAAGTGCTGCTGAAGGTCAGGTAGAAGCCCCCTCAGAAGGGGACCTCCCTCCCATCCAATGACATCACATCAGGAAGAGCAGATGAGCCAGGTGCAGCTTCTGGTACAGTCGTCATGATCTCAGGGCCAATTTGTTAATCTGCTGCCCGCCCCCTCCCCCAAATCAGGCATGTCTGCAAGACATGTTTGGGAGGCTGCAATTTATCCGGGTGCCTCCAATCCACACAGATCGGAACCCACAACTCCTTGAAGAACAGAATACTATGCTTTTTAGTTGTCAAGCCTTGCTTAGTGACATTGCCGGGTGACAGGGTGCAATATGATTTTCTTTTCTTTTCAATTCCACTGTAGTGAGAAGGCCACCAAAGTGCAGGACATCAAAAACAACCTGAAGGAGGCGATTGAAGTATGTGCCCAGCCCCTGCGCTCTGTCGCTAGTCCCTCCCCGCCCCCACACTGTGCGGCCCCCTGACCAACTGACAATCATTTCAGACCATTGTGGCCGCGATGAGCAACCTGGTGCCCCCTGTGGAGCTGGCCAACCCCGAGAACCAGTTCAGAGTGGACTACATTCTGAGCGTGATGAACGTGCCTGACTTTGACTTCCCACCTGTAAGCCACACCCCTCTCCTGGGTAGCACTGCCCCTCCCACCTCCGCCATAAATGACACGACCCTCTCCCCCTGACCCTGGGACAAGGGGCATCATGATACTCAGACTTAATAGGTTAATTCCATACAGAACTGTAACCAACGAATGGCATCAGGGCTTGGTTCAAGATGGATGAATCCTGTCACCCCTTGTAAATCTTAGCCACTCCACACGTAGCCATTACACTTTGTAGTACAGTTCTCACTTGGTTTGATTGTAGATTTTTATGAAGGGAAAAAAAGCCCCTAAATTCTGACTGTCTCGTTTGTCCCTCCTCCATAGTAGGGTGAAGTAAACTGCATGTTAAACATGGCATTCAATACTGAAAGCCCAGGGGAGATGTCATGGGATGCTAGTAAACGCTGTGCCCATGGGGGACAATCTTAACCTTAATCCTTTACCTTCTGACCTTGATGAAGGTTTTCCTAAAGTCAGTCCTTCCTTAAGGACAAATGAAAACCTTTTCTCATTGTTTAACATTATCAAAGAAATACCTATAGGATAATCAACATACACATCAAAACTGAGCAGAGCATTATGGAAAATAAGGCCTTCTGCTTTATACCCTGGACAAGGGTGCATGGTAAACAGTTGACAAACACCTATCGGCTTCATAAAGGACTTTTTAAGGAATGTAGAGCTGCTCAAACCCAAGCATATACATCTGGGCCCCTTTATGGGGGAAAAAGGGTTTATAAGAGGGGGACCAGGAAGCAGGGTAGAAAGACATGCCTAGGCCTAGGAGGAAGAGATTTGTCTCCAGCTGAAACAATGAGTTATTGTTGCCTTTCGTGGGAATTCTGTTTGTGTATTTTAAACAAATTTGGCTGCAAACTTCTCAGGGAAATTATCCGAGTACATAAATTTTTCTTTAAACTAGCAGTTAATGAAAACAAATTCAAGACATGGCCTTTCTCATTCTGTATCCATAATGGGACACAATAAAATTTCAGACTGTTACTCCAAATACACCCAAGCAGTCACCTGTACCAGTGCTACAGGTCCCTCCACCTCCCAATACCTGAACTTTTTATGTTCCTACTTGCAGTTCACCAGCATCATTTTAGTTAAAATTCATACTTTCCTAGAAGGAAAATTAGCCCAGCACCTTTGACCTATAAAGTTTCTTTTGTTTTCACAGGCTGAATTATTTATTGCCATATTCTCCTAATATTGATATCCGTCCTATATAAACTTCTGCAATAATAAGTAAATAACTTAGTAGTTTACCCCTTCTCACCCCCCACACCCAACAAATAACAGAAAAAGCTTCCTAAGACCAGTAGTTCATCATGGAAGGAAAATGGGAATGAAACAGCCTTGTGAGCATTCACTTGCCAGATGCCCTCACCCTTTGGAACCCCACAGTTCAAGTAACAGTGTTTCTGATTTGGTGTATGCTCACGACTTCCTCTAAACTTTCTTTCTTGCTTCCCTTTCAGGAATTCTATGAGCATGCCAAGGCTCTGTGGGAGGATGAGGGAGTGCGTGCCTGCTACGAGCGCTCCAATGAGTACCAGCTGATTGACTGTGCCCAGTAGTGAGTAGCCTCGCTGCCCCCCCCCCCCCATCCCACTAGCAGTGAGAGTGTTCGGATCTGATGCACTTATTTCACAACCCACGATTGCACTTTTTAGAACAGTGGCACTCTTTGATAGGAACAGTTAATACCTGTTACTTGCAACAAAATGATGCTCATAATGAATGAGCTCAAAGTAATTAATTGCAATGAATGACCTGAGAGAAACAGAGCGGTTCTCACACTTAGGGAAATGTAAAACGATTCTAGTTCATTGCTGGGATTTAAAAACCTAGTGGAGAAGAGCGGGAGAGATAAAAACACATAGGCAACTCAGTACAGGATGGGGTATTTCCAAACAGAAGTGTTACCTGGGAGGAGGCCAGGTGAGGCCTGCAGGGACAATGGAAGACACCTTACTCTGACACCAGCTGTAGACGTAGGCCAGCTCACTGAAGAGTTGCTGTAACCAAGAAGGCAAAAAAAGATTGAAAGAATAGATTTTTAGTTCGTGCCTCTAACCTGATACCTGAGCTACTACACACCTTTCCCTAGGGATCCCTGACACCCTTCCCCATCTCTTCAAGGGATATCGCTGCCCTGCTGCGAACGTGCCTTTTAAATACTTTACAACCTCCCTCATCCTGTATACAGGAAAGCAAGCATATGGTGGTCTGAGCCATTAAAAAAAAAGTGTGTTTGCTGATGCCGTCCTGAGGTACAAAGCAACTCACTGAGCAACTCCAAGGGAGGTGTCTGGAGAGGAGGAGGAGGAGAGGGGGGCATTGGAGCTTATCTCCAGTGTCCTAGTGAAATCCTCAGGTTATCTTTCCTTGGCTCTGCTTTTCCATAGGACGTTTAGTGTCACCTACATAAATCCCTTACAGTTGAATATGCAGGCCACGTTGAGTGGATTCTCTCAAGGAACAGCAAAACAGCCCCCACTCCTTGAACAAAGTCCCTGGTTTTCTCAAAAGTCTGAACACTAATTATAGTAACACCAAACAGATGGAAATCCTGCAATTGTTTGGCATTTGTGTTTTGGATCCAAGTCAGGAGTTGAGTACAGGTACAAGATTAGGTGCCTTTGGCCACTCCACCCCACTCCACCCTGTAACTAGCAGCTAAAAGTTTCATTAATTAACAGTCATTTGAACAGGGTTATTTATTTGGTTTTGGTCACACCATTTAAAAAGTTTTGAGGCTTTTTTTTTTCTTTTTTTCCTAAAGCAGTACAACATCACCTGAAACTTTATTTTAAAAGCACAAACTTACTAAGTTTTAAGAAAACTTAGAAAAGAGATCCACATAACTTTCCAACTTTTAAAAATGTCTTCCTTAACTGGATGGCTCAGGCAGCCCTGTGTTAGCAGTGACCAGCACGGTTCTGGTTTAACCGCCTGTATGGTGGAGTGGAGGTGCTGGTGTCCTGCCCATTTCTTCAGCTGCCTATTTTTATTTGTTGAGCTGGAGTTTGGCTGGCCCGGCTCCAGATGTCTCCTCACAAGATTTGGTGCTGAGGATCTATTTATAGAACTGTGGTTCTGTCGCCATGGCAACACGCGGGAGGCCAGGGTGGCTAGGAGCTATTTCTGGACCCAGTGCTGTAATGTAAGATTGATTGGGCAAGTTAGTGTATCCTCTAAGCCAGACTAACTCGGAACTGGTAGAAAGGAAAGGGAAAGAGGAGGGGGGGGGGGGGGGAGAAAACACAAAAACTTCGGGGTTTCTTTAGACTTTTTGTCCTCTTGTGATTTTTTCTGATAAGCCCACTTTTAAAATAGATTCCTACCTCCCCCCCCCCCCCCAAAAAGCCAAACTTTTACATTCCTATTAATTTTCCAGTCTTAACAAAAGTTAACTTTCTTACCTCTGTGTCCAGCAACACAGGCGAGATGTTTTAAACTGGTGTGTGCCTCCTATGCAGTGCTGGGGGTGCGAGGGCCTTCGTGCTGTCTTTTCATTCTTCACTTCCATTCCCTAACACACGCATGCACTATTTGGCCTTGTAGCCAAAGCCAGGTACTTTGACAATTAAAAGCTTTTTTGGTCAGTTATTACCAAAGGGCAGGGATCTCACTGACTGGTTTTGGGGTCCTTGCTCTGTTTTGTTGTTTGTTAAGCCCTGTCACCAACCTGGGCCGTTTATTCTTTCCCTGGGACAATCATTTCTCGTGGGCCCATTGGCATGAGCCCTGAACACCACCACGTGTCTTTTTTTCTCCCAGTTTCCTGGACAAGATTGATGTGATCAAGCAGGCCGACTACGTGCCGAGCGACCAGGTATAGTTAGGGGGTGGTACCCTCTGTCCACACTGCCATCGTGACTGTTTTGGTTGTCTCTGGTGAGAGCCACTGACCCCCGCCCCTTGTTTTAGGACCTGCTCCGCTGCCGTGTCCTGACCTCTGGAATCTTTGAGACCAAGTTCCAGGTGGACAAAGTCAACTTCCAGTAAGTGAATGCTTCAGCTTTTACCAAACACACACCGTGGTGTCTTGCTGTCCCTCGAGGGGTTGGTGGCAGACCCTTTGCAGTAACCAGGCCACTCTCCTCTCTTCCAGCATGTTCGATGTGGGCGGCCAGCGCGATGAGCGCCGCAAGTGGATCCAGTGCTTCAATGGTGCGTTCTCAGTGGCCTTAAGAACGTGTGCTTCTGTCATGGGGGTGATTGTTTCTGCTCTTCACACTCCCTGCCTTCGCTTCCTTGTGTTTTAGATGTGACTGCCATCATCTTCGTGGTGGCCAGCAGCAGCTACAACATGGTCATTCGGGAGGACAACCAGACCAACCGCCTGCAGGAGGCTCTGAACCTCTTCAAGAGCATCTGGAACAACAGGTGTGTGCCAAGCCTGCCCCCACCCAGCCTCCCAAGGCCCCAGCCTGCACTCTTCCTGAGCATTAAGCCTGCCTCCCTCTCTCTCTCACTAGATGGCTGCGCACCATCTCTGTGATTCTGTTCCTCAACAAGCAAGATCTGCTTGCTGAGAAAGTCCTCGCTGGAAAATCGAAGATTGAGGACTACTTTCCAGAGTTCGCTCGCTACACCACTCCTGAGGATGGTATGGAGGGCTTGCTCATGGTGGGGGCAGGGGGCGGGGGGGAGGGAGCTCTTCATTCACGTGGGCCTTTTTGCAAATGATGGGGCTGAAAGTGCCCACCCTTCCCCTCACTACCATACCAGAAAAGATCCATAGGGGAAGCTAGGCAAACTTACCTTTCTTCATTTTCATATGGAGAAATCGGGAGTTCTGAGAACTTAAGGGGCTAATATATTAGCATCTAGACCTGCCAGAACCTTTATTAACCGCCTTAATAAAATATTTGCATCCTTCGCAGCGACTCCCGAGCCCGGAGAGGACCCACGCGTGACCCGGGCCAAGTACTTCATTCGAGATGAGTTTCTGGTGAGTCACGCTTGTCTTACATTCTAAGTGTAAGGATGGAGCTGTTTGGTCCCCGCCCGGTGGGCTGGCTGTGGGGGTGCCAGGGGTCGAGCGGGTCTCTGACCAGCACTGTTGTCTGCCCACAGAGAATCAGCACTGCCAGTGGAGATGGGCGCCACTACTGCTATCCTCACTTCACCTGCGCTGTGGACACCGAGAACATCCGCCGCGTGTTCAACGACTGCCGTGACATCATCCAGCGCATGCACCTCCGCCAGTACGAGCTGCTCTAAGAAGGGAACCCCAAATTTAATTACAGCCTTAAGCACAATTAATTAAAAGTGAAACGCAACTGTGCACGCAGTTAGTCACCCACCATAGGGCATGACTAACAAAGCAACCTTTCCTTTCCCCCAAGTGATTTTGCGAAACCCCCTTTTCCCTTCAGCTTGCTTAGATGTTCCAAATTTAGAAAGCTTAAGGCGGCCTACAGATAAAAAAGAAAAAGAAAAAGGCCACAAAAGTTCCCTCTTCTCTTTCAGTAAATAAATAACAGCAGCAAACAGAAATAAAGAAATAAATGAAACAAATGAAACAAATGAAATAAATATTGTGTTGTGCAGCATTCAAAAAATCAAAATAAAAATTAAATGTGAGCAAAGAATGTTGGGACTCTGTGCATTGCTCGCCGTTCCAAACCAGCTCCCGCTGTCCATGCGCATGGTTTATTGGTCCTTCATCAAGACTTGAGAAGCCCCATGTCCAGATAAAGCCCCTTCTGGTATTTGTGGTGCAAAGTATGTTTCTGGTGATATAAACCCTCGGCAACAGCGCCTGTTTTCCTTGTTCCTTAGTAGCCCTACCTTTTGGTTATTGTTGCCCTGTTTTAGCCAAGGGTTGGTAACCAACCTACACTATCATTACATCATCTCACACATTCCTGTTTACCTGCCCACCCTCAAAATGTTGAAGTATTTGTTAGAGGATATGGACTAAAATAGGTGGAGAGATTTCCATGGGTGGGAGGAGGATGGGCCTGGTCAAGAAATGATTTCAAGACCATCTCTACACTAGGCCCGCCACACACCAAAATGAGGTTAATATGTTTTTCTCATGTACAATAAAGGGGGCTGAGGGTGGGGAATTGCATAAAAATCACACTTCTAAAAATGGGGAGGGAGTTGGGTAAAAGTAACAAGTAAACAGAGTTCTTAGGAATTAACAAGCAAAACTAGAAAATGGGAAAAGTAGGAAATATGGAATATGCTAAACGTCAACAAGTAGCTAATGTCTCAGAAGATACAGAACATCGCTCATAAAGAAATACAAATGAAATTTCATCACTGAGGGTGGAGGTAGTTGGCACTCATGGGCCCCATATTAACCCCAGTTGGAATATGGCTTGAATCTGATACCCAGAATCTCCCAAAGACCCTCCCCCAATAGGTGTACAATCTTAGTATAAAGGATCTGATATGCAAATCACCAGAAGGCCAGCCCACAAAGGCCCATAACCCCCCTACATCCCCAATAAACACAAATAGGGCCTTGCTGTACAAATACCCAGAAGGCCAACGTCCCCCTCCGCATCCCCCTGACACAGGAAATCCCAGTAAAGTAGGGTCTTGCTATGCAGACAGCAATATAGCCAGTCCAGAGTCCCACAGTCTGCCCCGTAAACACAATCCCAGTAAAGTGTGGCTTTGCTATGCAAATGGCCCGAGAATCCACCCAGAGTCCTACAATCCTCCAAAATTCCCACAAGAAATACACAAATCTCAGTAAAAATCAGGCCTTGCTACACAAATAGCCAGAAGCCCCCCCCCCATAACCACATCAAAGTTCCCAATACACCTAATCTAAATAAAAATGAGGCCTTGTTACCCAAATAGCCAAAGGCCAGCCCACAAAGCCCCACAGTCCTCCAAAGGTGCCCAATAAACGCAGTCAAAATGGGGCCTTAATGTGCAAATACCCAGAGGACCAGCCCACTAAGACCATAACCCCTCCGCTTCCCTCCAATGAACAGGTAATCCCAGGAAGAACAGTCTTGCTATGCAAGCCCAGGATCCTCCAAAGCACCGCCCAACCATTCACACACAGTAACAGTCAAAATGGGGCCTTGCTATGCAAACACCCAGAGGGCCGGCCCACAAAAATCCTTAGACCCCTAAAAGTTCCTCTCATAAACCCAACCACAGTAAAGCGGGGTCTTGGTCTTGCTATGCAAGCCCACAACCACTCATGGCCCGCCCAAAGTCCCCCCAATACACTTAATCTAAGGAAAAATGAAGCCTTGTTATGCAAATAGCCAGAAGGCCAGTCCACAAAGACTATTACCCCTCAGTATCTCCCCCCAATAAATAGGTAATCCCCTTAAGAAGAGTCTTGTTATGCAAATGGCCAGAGTGCCACCCGCAAAGTCCCGCTATCCTCCAAAGCACCCCCCACTACCATTAACACACAATACCAGTGAAAATGAGGCCTTCCTAGGCAAATAGCCGGGCTGGGAAGGTGGCTCAGTGGTAGAGTGCTTGCCTTGCATGCATAAGGCCCTGGGTTCGATTCCTCAGCACCACATAAGCAGGAAAAAAAAGATAGAAGTGGCGCTGTAGCTCAAGTGGTAGAGCATAGCCTTGAGCTGAAAAGCTGAGGGACAGCGCCCAGGCCCAGAGTTCAGGCCCACGACCGGACCCAAAAAGAAAAAGATATACACCTAGGCAAATAGCCAAAGACCAGTCCACAGATTCCCACAATGCTTCTTGGCTTCCAAATAAAGACAACTAACTAAAACCTGGCCTGCACCAATCACTAGAAATTACAAGGTCAGGGCACTGTACCCCTAAAGGCCATGTTGACCAGAAAGCGGAGGTTGAACCCTCATTTTCCATGGTGGCTATCTGTCAGCCCTTACTACACAATCGTTCTGGAACCACCTCTGAGTAAAAACATCTAAGATTGTCAAAGCATTAGCCAAATATCTTGTCAAATGAAGAAAAACATCTCGGGCCATGGGCAAAAGGATGTCCTGTAAGCTGGTAGGGACACTGCTGACTAACAGAAGAAGGGTAAAACAGTGACAGCCATCAGGCACCTCCTCTTCTGTGTCAGCTGTTGCTGCCATTTTACCAAGGTGGAACAGAAGCCTAGAGAGGCCCCAGGAAGCATGGCTTCCGACTCAGAGCGCCACGACCTCTGACTGCTTGACCACTGCGGACACTGCTGTCTTAGAAGAGGCAGGAAGGCAGGAAAAGATTTTCTGGTGTTTCACCGTGATGCCAGTTGTCAGGAGGCCAGGACCTGTGACCCCAAAGGGAAATCCTGCAGGGCATCATGGGATTCCATATCCGGTAGGAGGGTGCGGGCCTCTTCCCTCAGAGCACAGCCTTAGACATACTCCTGTCCCCTCCCCCCGGGTCCTGGGCTTTGTCACATGGACCCTATGGTCATTCAGTGTGTCTGAGTCCAGTCCAGCTATCTGAAAACACATTTTTGTTTCCCTTTTCCCTTTACCCCAGAACCAAACATAACTTGAAGGAGCTATTTTGAAGTCTAAATTACAGAAACCTCAGAAAGCAAAAATTATGGCGTTTCATATAAATCTTTGACTACAGGACCCATTTTTTTTAAATGGGAAAGCTGAATTTAAACACAAAACCATTTAAACAAAAAACCACTTTTTAAAATTTTATTTTTCTTGTTAGTCGTGGGAATTGAACTCTGGGCCTGGGTGCACCACTTCCAGGTTTCTAGTGGTTTATTGAAGATGAGTCTCACTGAGTTTGCTGCCCAGACTGGCTTTGAACCATGATCCTCAGATCTCAGCCTCCTGAGAAGCTAGGATGACAGGTGTGAACCAGAGGCGCCAGGCTTGTGACACACTTTATTAAGGTGTAAGCCACATATTACTAGTGACTAATCATTGACCTTTTGGAGAATGAAACATAATGGTAAGCCTGGTGGGGGGGGCCTCAAAGTCTCTATTTTTATTCAAATTTGGACAAAATTATCCCCAAAGAGAGGGCTATATCTACATTGGCTATGTTAACAGCATTGCCTTATAAATGGTCTCTGCAATGGTTTGAACCATCTTTTCATTGAACAGATTTGCAGCCTTGGCCAGTCACTAGGAGTGCAGCTCTCAAGAGGGTTTCTTCTATCAGGGGAGACTCAACTCATCAAATAAATAACCAAAGGACTGACAGGGGGAAGCCAGGCCTCAGAGGCAGTGAACAGGAGAGGGGCGGAGAGGAGTGGGAAATATTTGGGAAGGAGGCCCTCCTGAGGTGCAAAGTTTTAATTTTTTTTTTCAGTCAGTTGTGGGGCCTGAACTCTCGACCTGGGCACTGTCCCTCAGCCCTGCAGCTCAAGGCGAGCGTTCTACCACTTGAGCCACAGCACTACTTTTGGCTTTTTCTGCTTATGTGGTGGTGCTGAGGAATCGAACCCAGGGCCTCATGTATGCGAGGCAAGCACTCTACCACTGAGCCTCCTTCCCAGCCCCCAAAGTTTTAAATTTTAAGTGAATGCAAAAGAGCAAGCCATCCAAGTACTAGTGGTTAAGATCGTTATTATAGTTGTTAATTATTAAAACATATTAGTGAATGTTTATAAAGAAGCACTTTACCATGGACCATACACTGTTCTGTCTCCTTTCTCACTTAATCTTTTTTTTTTTTTTTTTTTTGGCAGCATAGGGTTTTGAACTCAGGCTTCCCTGTTTTCAAGGCAGGTGCTCTACTACTTGAGCCACATCACCAGCCTCTCATTCAATTGTTCAAGGCCCTATCCTATTGTGTAGATGTGAACTTAAACTCAAAAAAGGTCAGTTCTGCTTATCATAATTTATGAAAAATCATATTTCTTTTTTTAACTTTATCAACCTATATTTTTACTTTAATCTATATATTTGATTTTATTATTCTATACAAAAGGGTTTCACTGATATTGCCATATGTGCATTAATATACTTTGATTCCCAAACTACATGTTTAATGAGGGTTATACAAAAGGTGTTGCAATAAGCAGCCAATGCAAGTTATTATTTCCTAGGTTCCTATTTTGGAACAGAACTTTGAGTCTCTAGGATAATTTATTTTTGCATTTAAACATTTGTATACTGTGAACAATTAGTTTTCTGGGCTTTCCTACCTTATTTAATGTGTTGATCAGGAATGCATTCAGCTACAAATAACAGGCAGAAAAGAAGGTTTGATTCTTACTGCTCAGAGACTCTGGAGTTGGTGACTGCTAGTAACAGAAAGGCAGAGGCCTTTACAGCCCTCCTGGCTCTTCTCTCACTGCTGTGTGATCGCCAAGAACAGAAGGAAGAGGAAGCACACAACCCAGCCAAATGACTCTTTTGTATCATTCTTAGATGTCCTTCCGTTCACTCCCTGCCATGTGAAATGCACATACACACCTAGACGGTTCAAAAGCCAGCTAGCTAACTACAAACAGACTCCCAGTAACACTTCTGAGGTCCCACTGTGCATTCCATAATACTCAGCCCACAGAGGGGCTTCTGAGCTCATACTATGTGTACTTCTGATGGAGCCTCAGGAAACATCCAGGACATACAGTACTAGGGATTAGAGATGGCAACATGTAAAAACAAAAACAATTATGCTTTCAAATTCTAAAAGACAAATTTGCACAATT